GGCTGGCAAATCCATAAAACCACGGCTCGAAAAATTCAGTCGCGGCTCGCCAAGTAGATATATTCCATACTAGCCTACATTGACTGTTGACATTGCAATTTTTTTAATTGATTTTAATGTAGTCAAAACTCAAAAGTGGTATGTTGAATTCAGGAGGGGCAATAGGCCTATATGTACTAATGTACAAATGCACTTATCATATTGGATCTTGAAATCTTAGACTTGAACTGAAACTAGATTTTCTTTTATATCCAGCTGATATTTTGGAACTGAATCAACTGATCAACTTGACCAGCAATTCTGGGTAATCCAGCAGAAGCCACCTGCCAATCACGATTAGCTTTTTCAGCTAATGAGACCAAAATTTCTATGCTTAAGGTTAATTTTTCCTGTTTTTTTATTGTCCTTGCCTTATTTTCTTATAAAAAACTGCTAATTTTTGCCTTTGATGTTTAAATATTACCTGTAGAATCTAGTAGCCAGAGTGGAAATGTAAGATTAGAGGTTCACTCAAAAAAAAGCGTTCTGCCTTGAAAAAAAACTTTTCAGGCAACTGAGGCAAGTGGCAACTAGAAACAGGTTTGCAGGTTGTCAGAAATTGGCCTCGGCATGAACGTTACGTCAGGCAACACAGAGAAAATTCCAATATTGTTCATTGTGCGCGTCACTCACGGATAAGCAAGTGGAATCTACTGAAAGAAGAGTACACGTTGTGCTCGGTAGAAGTTACAAGGTTGTTACTGAATACTGACACCAGTAGAGACTCGTCACCAATGAGGCTTGAGCAAGGGAGATCTTAGGAAGGCTGCATGAGCTTTGCGACCCGCATGAACGTTTCCGAGGTTGCCAGTAGAGACGCGTCACTCCGCGGTGAGCAAAGGATATCTTGAGGAGGCCTCACAACATTGCAGCCGGAAAGGATGTACTCTCGATTCTGAAAAAAAGTTCCATTAGATCTTGCTGATATACTTGAATGCAAAAGTCGCCTATATACGAGTTGATTAAGAGCACTTGATGTATTAGTTGTTCAGAGTTTGACCAGTTGATTCAGAGCACACCAAATTATTTTCTTTTATGGTCATAATTAATTTACTCCTTAATTGTTTTCATTATTTCTGAAAATCATACCTGAAACTGATTTGGAAGATATGCTAGCATCCAACTCCCAACCAGCTCAAACGAACGCAGATTTGATTGCATGCAATCTATGCCTTTGTATCATATTATTTAAACTGCACATGAAAAAAAAAATTGTCAAAATTGGCATTGTTCTATGAACGATACTAACACTCTTGTTGATAAAGCTTGCATCTACAATGCTAAACACGAATGCTTTAATTAAGTAATGACTGACGTTAGTGAGTAATGAATGGCAAAAAGAGTCTCTCCACTCTCCTTAGTCTTTACTCACTCAGAGTCAGAGTAAACTAACAGCTCATCGGCAAGAACTAAATAGCTATATATATATGGGTTATAATACTACTTACTCTTGACATAATGAATATAAAAAAACATCTATTGCACCCATTCGTTACGTCAGCTTTCAAAATGAGGATAAACTCATCGGCAATTGGAGAAACTTATCGAAGAAGAGGCAATGTGCATGAAACTTGACTGACTAGACTACCGGTAGCGTACTTGGAAAATATAGCATTCAAAACTTTAGATTCTGTGAACCTTGTAATTTATACATTATTAGAACTTTATACGGCTCACAATATATCAAGTAAAATTTTCACTCAATAATAGTCTCAAAGTGTATGAATAAAACCTAAGGAGTATAAAACTGAAGTCCGAGCTTCATCTGCATTGCAGTTACCATATCCACCAGTTGCGTAATGAGAACCAAGTCAACTAACCAGGCTGAGCCAAATGCTTTTCCCGTCAGCTTCGTTGCACACGATTGATACTGCATGCAATGCATGTATAACATTTACGACTGTTATTAAACCATTCTGTTGAATGTCAGTTAATAAAAATTTACAATATAGAAGAATTCAAATATTTCTTTTCTTCACGGAGTATATTGATATCATATTGTTGGTATCTCTGTCACATGTCACCTTCTTTGTTATTGTTTTGGTACAGATGGTACTCCTGAATCCTGATTGCGAGTAGTTTTCATGTCTCAGCTGAAAACTATCATCAGTTTTTTATTTGTCGATGAAATCATAGGCAGTTTTTCATGTATTTGTGAGTGAATGTACAAAATAAAGATGTTATTCTTTGCGATTTTCATCAATAGTGACATAACTACATTATTGTATTAGGCGCTTGAAATAAATGTAGCATTACACATTAAATTAGCACTAGTGCGTTAGCAATGTGTGCATTTGGGGCGGTCCATTCTAGCTTTCTAACGCTGTTTGGATTCCAGTGGCAGTGACGTTGCACGCGTTCTGATGGTAATTGAATTCTTGTGACTGGCGTTGCACACGTTCTAGCGATGATTGGATTCATGTGACTGTGACGTAGGACGCGTTCAAGCAATAATTGGATTCATTTGACTGTGACGTTGGATGCATTCAAGCGTTGATTGGATCCACACTGCTAGTAGCTATTGAATTTTTCTATTGAATACTGAAATTGTGGGGCTCTAATATGAGGCTATATGAGCTAGGTACTGGTATTTTTCTTATATTTAGAATCTCATGGTGGATTGTGAAATTTTGTTTACAACTGGATAGGAGATAATTTATGCAGCCTGAATCTCCAAGGTCCAAAAATAGCAAGAAAACTAGTTGTGATGGTACAGGTTGGGAAAAGTCCTACTATTTTTTGAAATATTGTTGTTCCAACAACATACAATTTCAGAAAGTATAAAATCATATGGCTCTAATGTCATGTATTTTTGATTGATTGAAAAAATTGCAGTGGCACTTTGCAAACATGTTGCTTTTAAAAAATTTTCAACTTTTGCAATTTTCACTACTTCCAACGCACCTACCAAAATATCCTGTAGAATGTAATAATAATGAGTCAACCCAAAACATCTTGTTGAAGATTGCATAGTTGCGGACATGTCAGACCAGGGTGCAGACTTTGCAAGCAGCGTCGCCAAGATATGAATTTTTAGCCCAAAGTGTCCCCAGCCATTTTCAAGATGCGTTGCCAAGTAAATTTTAATAAGAAAGTGCTGCAAGCAACTTTGATACTATATCCCTTACTCTCTGCGCCCTGCAACTCTTACACTCATTGCAACTGATTTACAGACAAGCTTCAATGCATCCTGATCCATCAAACGTACCGGAAACCTTACTGTGCGCGCTTGCGGTCTTTCAGATTTGCCGTAATTGCAATAATTTCAAAGTAATTTCTAAAATGCAAAAATTTCAATCCAAATGTTTTAGCAAGACCTTCTGAAGGCGTAAATTTTGCTGGTGATGCGTAACCAAAGATATTTTGATATTCACCCACTTTCTACACCCTGGACGTCAGAGTGATCAGACTGCATTTTCATGTTCAGTTGCCACTAGAGTAAATACAAATGTCATTGTTGTTGTTTGACTGTTTTAGGGTAAAATTGGAGATTTGGGATAACATGTGCACATGATTGTGTAAATAAGTTTGTGGCTTGTAAATGGCTCTTCATGGCCATGATATGTAATTCACAGCCCAAAGAAATGGAATCACAGCTGATTAATCCATAAAACCACGACTCAAAACATCCAGTCGCAGCTCACCAAGTACCTACTAGATATATTCCACCTGTGATAAAGATATATATATTCCATGTCAGCATAAAGCCACAAAATGATAGTTTTTGTATCTAACTTTCAGAAAATTCAGCATAATATTTCAAATTGCTTGATTATATGAATCTCAATTCCTTGAATTCCACCCAGTTTGACATATTGGCATTTTTATTTCAATTATTAAGGAGTATATGACATTAGACTGTCAAAATCTTCAAGACCTATTTGCAAATTTACATGCATTTTGTAGGGCCCTGCATTAGGGTAGAATTGAATTTTCCTACCTACGTACTATGTACTAGAATATCTCAGCTTTAAAGTGAAAAAGTTTCATTACATTTTGAAATCTCATGGCCCAATAATTCTCATCTCTCCTCTGCCTAATTTTTAATTTTAGCCATGAATGAGATACAAACACCTTTGTCCATTGACTATTTTACCAATTTTTACTGAACTTACCTATATTTTTAAATTAAAATTGAGAAGTGTTCTATAAATATACTCCACATTGCAGCCTTGAAAAAATATATAATGCTGTGAGCCAAACAGTAAAATCTTGCCACAGCCATCCATAATCTATGAAGGAGACAACGATGCTCTTTCACTTTGAAAATATTACTTTTTTCTGTGGCCCTTGCTTTGTCTTATTTTCTTTCATAAAATTTAAATGAAATATAACATTTCTTCTGTAATTTTTGTATATCACTCTTGAAACCATAGTTCTTCTTATAATTTTTATATAATTCTGCCAGATATTCCAGATTGAGATGCGAGTCAATTTTACAAGCTTTCAATCCATATTTCTAAGCCATGCATGTCAATTCATGAGTCAAAAACAATTTTTGAGCTACATTTGCCATGCCATATATTTTTAAACTTCTCTAATTTTACCTCGCAAAAAGGCAAAAATTATTCTTCTCCTGAGGCAGTTTATAACATATATTCCATAACACATCTGTTTTAATTAGTAACTTTTTGATTAAAATATTGGTGTATTTATTTATATGTATCTTTTAGCTTCCCATCAAAAACATTGAATATCAATAACAATTCTGCACTAGGATCATTTCTTTAGTTTATTAGGAACTTCTAATACTGCTGAAAGCTAGAGCCTTTTAACCTTTGTTCAAACCTTTTTACCAATAATATTGAAATAAAATATCAAATTTTCCATTTCAGATATCTTTGAAAACTTTGATAGTCTTCTGACAAAACGACGATGTCAGGCCGAGCGAAGCATTGTAGTGGAGGTTCCATCAGTTAACTCTTTAGACCATGTCTTGCACAGCTGTTGTGCGATTGGCCAAGTTTCATCACTTTTTCACTATACAACCTTCAATAAATATGTCAACAAGCACAAAGTAAGCACCAAGCATTAAGAGATATTTCTCTAACTATATTTTTCACAATTAATAATATAATCTGCTAGCATTTTGCTCTCTACAAATATCTAGGATTGAGTGAGATAGTTGTATTTATTAATTGTTATTTCTTTTGTTATCTTATAGAATTCTGTGATTTTAACCACAATTGGTGCATTAATAATTAATATATAATATACTGATATTCATTTGCAACGAAGAAACAAATGCTTCAGCATGTGACCCCTGTTCAGGTTTTAATCCTTTAGACATGAGAATTTTTTGTTTCTTTTGTCTTCAGAAATATAAATTCTATGTTTAGTTCATTAATAAAATATACATTTAAGACTGATGCAACAAAAATGTTTAGGTTGATACCCGCTAACATTTCTCACATTCTTTCAGGAAATGTTACTTGTTGAGTTCTCAGAGCCCATTAGTGCACGTGAAATGATGCTTTACTGTCCAACTTCATCATCTGCATGCCTACCGGTCCGGTCACCCTTCTTTCAGTACCATGACCAAAGAACGTCTCCGGCACCTCTCCGGCAATCTCAGAGTCTCTCAACTGACAACTTGAACAGACAAGAACAAGTGGAAAAGCAGAAAATCTTCAGGGAGAACCTTCTCTCTGACAAAGATCTCAAGCAAAGCATTTTTTCTTGCAATAGTGTGAGAACATTGATTTATTCCTTTTCTTCATATTTATAGTCAATGTATTAATGTTGAAATCAGTCATTAATGTGCTGAAATTTTTGCATATTATAATCAACTATTTCTTTTTATGTTTATATTTATTCTCATATTTCACAGATATCGGAGCAGATGAAACTCTTCTATGATAAAACTAAGCTCACTGACCTGGGAAGCCGACTCAGATTTTTGACATGTCGACAGGTAGCTATCATGTGTCTGAGTCTGACATTTTATTATGTTAAATTCCATTTATTTACTGTTGATCCTTAGCTGAAAAACTCTATTGACTGGTGAAGGAGTCCATCCTGTTTCAACATCATTTATTACTAATGAAATTTTTTTCATTTGTTATGCTAGTCTATGCTATACTGTGCTGTGCCTTGCTATGCAAATTTTTATTGCCTAGTCCCCTCTTTGTCAATTATTCCCTTTTGAATTATTTTTCTAGCTGAATTACACTAACGTGTGTCAATCTGGACTTTCTTTTGTTTGTAAATTTTTTGACAATGTCAAATTTGTTAGTACAAATTTTCTGGTACATTTTCCTCAGCTTCTAGGAGTTGTATATAAGAACACAAATTTTGGGTTTTTACATAAAACAATGCCAATTACCTTGAATCCATACTATTTACATTCTCTACTCATTTGTATTTCTGCTATCAATAATCATTTTCTAGTTCTTGCTTACTACTAGAATGTATGAGCAGGTTGAGGTAGCACTGGCAGGTCCATTACCTCATCTGTCAGCACTGCCGTTTGGCTCGTCTGTGAATGGTTTTGGGCACTGTTTGTCAGACCTCGATATGGTTATGCAGTTGGAACATTCAGAGCTTGTCAGAGCCTGTCCGGAGGTAAGTCAGTCAAAATTAAGGAGCATTTTTATTGTGCTTATTTGACATAGGCCTAAAGGCTGGGTATGCCCTACTATGTTTTTTAGGCGTGTGATTAATTGTGACTTGAAGAAAATGGGCCATGGTATTACACATGAATTTTCGGCAGTAATACTACGTATCTCCCAAGTGATTTTGTAGATGTTTAAATTAATGCAATACTTAAGTCATCGATTTGTTCTCAGTGGGCTGAGAGCTTTGTGCTGCAGAATGCAAGTGACACAGCATTCGGTCAGCAGCGTGTAAGCAGCACGCGCTTCCTGGAGCTTGTTGCAGATGTGTTGCGCAGCACAAGCCCAGGCTGCACACAGGTCAGTCATTGCGCTGATATTTGTAGACTATTTCGAAGTCCAATAGTCTAAAATACAGATCAAACATTTGGAAATACAGCTATATATATTCGATATGCTGATTTTTATTTTGCAAGTTATTTTAACTCGTTGTATGAGATTTTTTGTATGAATGAATTGTATAATTTAGCAAAGAACGCATGTTTTTTCTCTTCTAGGTTATGTAGACTTATTAATAAAAATTTCTCATAAGTAAAGCCTGGAACTATAGAGACTAGCGTCTCCTGTGTTGTGATTAAATGTTGCAGACGCTCTTTGGTGCAAGGGTCGAAATAGCATATGTTAATTCAACATCTGATCTTTCCTAATGAGGATTTTTTTTCTTGATTTTGTATGTTTTTGGCAGATAGTGAAAGTACTGAAAGCCAGAGTGCCCATTGTCAAGTACCATCAACAGCTCACAGGACTCGATTGTGATCTCTCCATAAACAATTGGTGAGCCTAGAGTGTGGTTTATTCTTGCTTTTAAAATTGGCAAGCATTAGGTCCATTGTTGTAGTATATAATGGGTGATCCTCATTGAAGTGACCCAAATGTTCAACTGATTTCAATATTTACTGGACAAAAAATGCACATTTATTTCAGTGCTCTTCCTACCTGGATGCGTGTAAGTTATGTCTTGACTCTCTTAGCTGTGGTTAGGCTTGTCGGATTGTTTAGATACAATTGTATCTAAACTCATTATGATTATAACATTCTAAAATTATGAAGTCCGACAAAGGTTAAATAAATAATTAGTGTATAGATCCTGCACATTGATAATTTTCAGTATAGCAAGAAACACCGTACACTATTTCGTAGACCATTACGAAAAAAAATATTTACTTAATAGTCCAGTACAGAATTCTTCAAAGTTTAGCACGTTGACTCCGATTGCTTCATCTTGTACTATTATTTCATTTTTTGTACTGTTTTTAAACAGGGTTGCCAGACGTTAATTTTTTCCGGACAAATTCCGCGATTTAGTTTTTCTCAATTGCGTTAGCCGGCTAAAATTTATGATAGGGGTACTTCCTAATTAAATTTTAAATACTGCAAAAAGAAATTAAATGGAATTTTTGTAGCAGAACCTACAAATAAACTAGTATATATTGAGTTATCGGCCTTTTTTGGCCTTTTTTGTTCTTGGATTTGGCCGATTTTAGGCTACCTGAATTATGTACCTCTAAGTCCTGGAGAAATACATTTTGTGGTACGCATATGTACCACTACGGAGTCAACGTGTTAAGGTAAGATTTCCGCTGTTAATCGCAATGAAATGGTTAAAAACCTGTACCTGACGAGACAGCTATTTTGGATTTAGCCAATGTTGTATGCATGCATATTAGGTTTTATTCACAGATTTGTACGTTTTAAATGTAATGTTTAGCGAAGTAAAAGAATGCTGAATGTATGCTGTAATTCATAAGGCGCAAAGTTATTGATACTGAGCTGTATCTTGAGGAGAATTGTTATTAATACTGAGCTGTATATGGGCAGGTCCGGGCTGTACATGAGCGAGTTGCTGTACCAGTACAGCGCTCTGGACGCCCGCGTGGCGCCGCTGCTGTTCTGCCTGCGGCTGTGGGCGAAGGAGGCGCAGCTCACCTCGCAACACCCAGGCCGCTGGATCACCAACTTCTCCATCACCACCCTGGCTCTTTACTACCTCATCTCACTCAGAATCCTGCCTCCCTTCGAGCTGCTCAAGAAGCATGCGCGTCAGTTATTAGTGGCAGATGTCTGCTGACGAATAAGTAGCATCCTGCTCAAAGAAATAATCATAAATTCTGAACACATTTCACTTGTATACTGCTTAAATACGACAATAATTCTAATGATATAACTGTATAAGGGGACGACTTATTGATTAGCTGGTGTGCGTTCTTAACAATCACACAGAAGAGAGCTCAATCTTGGACGAGAACCTAATTTATAGAAAACTTCTTTTATTATTTTACCCAATTGAAACCAGACATGTAATTGAGTGATAGATTACTAAAGTGACCATTATCTTGAAGTGCAAACCTGACATGTAATCAGCTGATGGATTAACGAAGCGACCATTATCTTATCTGCAAATATGACACGTGATCGGATTAACGAAGTGACCATTATCTTGGTCTTCAAAAACGACGTATAATCTGCTAATAGATTAACGAAGTAACCAAAATCTTGAAGTACGAATATGTTGTGGCAGGCCCTGAAGACGCACGTGTGGCCGAGAACAGCCTTGACTGCTCCTACCTGCGATCGCTGTCACGCATCGCGGCGCTGCACTCGCCGCCCAAGGCCACGCGCAGCCTTACCTTAGAGGACCTCCTGCTCGGCTTCTTCAGCTTCTACGATGAGTTCGACTTCAGGAAGCATGGCCTCACCATCATCTACGGCAAAACTTTTATCAAACCCGACTCGTCGGCAATGTATATACAAGTGAGAAATGTATTACTTGGTTAGTAAATGAATGATTAATGAGGTAATTAATTGCCGGTGTTTCCGGGTTTGAAAACTGTTGAAATCGATACTTAATTGTACAATTGAACACGTTGGATAGCTCGTCAGCGATGTCTATACAAGTGAGAAGTGTAGGTACATATTGTAGCGGCGCTTAGTGAGTGAATGATTTATTAGATATTTATTTGACTGTGTTGCTGCAAATACTGTGAACAGTAATGCTAATGATTGTGCCACAGAACCCGCTGGATGGCTCGTTGAATGTGAGTCGCAACGTGACGCTGGAGGAGGTCGAGAGGTTCAGCATGGCGGTGACGCGGGCACTGCACTCTCTGCATCAGGATGCTCCTCAGGTCTCTAATTTCTCATATCGTATAAACTCTCATACTCTTAATCTTTCAAACTTCATATATCATTTAGACTCTCATATTCGCAATCTCTCAAACATGTGAAATATTACCTCTCGGTCTCTCATTGATTTATCTGTGGCATCGTTCTCCTATTCCTGCCAATAATATATTTTACTTATACCGCCTCTCACTTTCATTGGTAGATCTCATTATTGTAATTCATTGTGCTGAGCAGACGTCTCCTGGGTGGGGTCTGCTATCGTTGTGGTCCTCTTCTGATCACCGTCCTCTGCAAGCCATCAGTTTAGACTGGAATCTAATATTCAATAATGACGTCAAGAAGTCTCCTCCTCATAGTGCCGAGCATTCCAGTGCTGATAGTAACGTGTCACCTCAGAATAGAGCAGCAGTTAAGCCATCTGATACTTTGCATCGTAAAGTTGATCTTCGACCTGAAATTTCTACAGGAAAGAGCGTTCGGCTTGTAAGCAATTCTTCACCGTCTGTAATTAACCCACAGTCTGCTTCACGCAACATACAATCGCCCGTAGCTGAGGGCAAGTATTTCTCTGAACTGAAACTCTCATCTGCGAGTAAAAATTCCAATAGGAAGTCTTCTAAAAGTAACGAGCACAAGCGCAGTCTTAAGATATCCATGAAGTCGAGGAAATAACAACGGCCTAACCATTAACCAATTGTAATGATAAAACTTCCCGCTACCTGCCCTTCATGTTATTGTTTTAATGGGGAGTTCCAGTTAGACACCATGCAAAAGTGTCTTGTGGGAATAGGATACAGTATTTAAAACTAAGATTGTACTATAGAAACTCACTTGAATACAAATAACGGCCGATTTCTCGTCTGTGATTGGTGGGTTTAGATTGAAAAACCGTCAGTGATGGGCTAAATTGGGTACAAACTCGTAACTTTTTGACAGAACTCTCCCAGACCTTGACCTTGCCTCTGGTCTGAAACTTGTGTGTTTGGTTATGTGATCCTGCCTTCCTATCATCGTTTATTAGAGTTGCTTACAGGCGGTTAACCATTCTCATGCTGCCACTCGAGAACGTTGGGGCTTTTGAAGAATTTTTTATCGACTAATTTATGTTTTGTTGGTGGCTTATTTGTTGAGAAATCCCGGCATTGTTCAATTTGAGAATGTTACCTGCAGTTCATGTCTTTGGAGATCTGATTATCCAAATAATCCAGGCAATGAATGGTAGCAATTAAAATGCTTGTTAGATCGAAGATAATCTTTAGCTCACAAAACTGGCTTTAATTATTTTCGAAATAAATGAATGGCGAGAAAACTATGGCTTTTATTTACACGCATTAAACGAGTGTGAGAGAAAGTGGCTGAATATTAATAAAGAGTTGATAATAAGACGAGTGGCCTCCAATGCCCTCGTGTGCGTGGGCGCCATCGTTGGTGTTTTTTTCTTCAATTTCGGAGTATCCGTAGTATTATGAATGAAAGTTAGGAGTTCTTGCTCATCACGAACATGGTTTTCATCTATTTTTCCTTTCCTTCTTTGAAAAAAAGCACCCGATATGACTATCGCACGTGTTCTCCATTCATACTGGAGATATTTTCTCGTATTGTGCACTATAATCACATCCGGCAGTGATAACGTTTGGAGTTTTTGTTGCAAGTCTGAGCACAAATAAGTTGCAGGAGTCTCAGGAAATTTTTAGTTAAGTCTACGGATATTTCAGCCAATATTTCTGTTATATCCGTTGTGAATCAGTGCTGATAGCCTGATGTTGCAGTTCGTTCATTTACATCTCGTGTCATATTATTCTTGTTGATTGCCGTGATCGTTTTATTATCACAACAATGCTTATTCCTGGTTGCTTTTAATTTTATAATGGTCGTTGAAATGTTATGCCCTCTGAAATTTGATCTAAACTGTTTTTGATTCTTAAGCCGATTCCAAGTAAGCTTAGAAAGTCGTAGTTCCTTCGAACTTCTCGTTCTCAGTGGGTCATTTTTATTTAATTTAATATCGCACATGTAATTTTTCGAGACATTTAAAGTGGGTGCTGGTGATTGATATTTCATTACGTTAAAACGGCCACCCTATGTCAACCGATGTGTCTCCCCTTGTTTAAACAACGGCGGCAAGGTTAAAGTACTAACCAAAACAAATATCGGCTATCGGGCTCGCAAGGATGACGTCACGGCTCCGAATCGCCAGATGCATTGTGGGATCGACGGCCATGTTTGTAGACCGAGCTAGCTTTCGCTACGGAGCTCTTTCTTTCTCCATTGTCACCATTCACCAAAACATCCAACCGACTGAAACGAGCAAGAACGAAAGAATGGTCTACAAAGATGGCGGCGGAGCAACGCGGATTACTTGGAAACGCGGGAGCTTGGCGAGCCCGATAGTTCCCGCGCCGTAAAGACCCTGAAAAGGCGGCATAGAGGCTAGGGGGAGAGATGCATCACCTCACGCGGATCGATGCGGAGCATCGCGTCCGCGACCGTGGAGTCACGAGCTCAGTGCTCCAGTGGCGATGGTGGGAAGTGGTTGTGTACCGTCGTGCGTCAGCTGCAGGTATGAGCTGTGGTTATCCTGATCTCGGTTTATGATAACCCCTAGCGAGAATCAAGTCGGCACACACGACACATGTAGTAAGCTGCGGACCCGCCCACCTGTAGTAGTAGGTAGTGGCGTGGCTCCCGCTCTCATGAAGGTGCCATTGCCATAGAATGCCCACGCGTGTCACCTCATGTCAGGCTCTGGGCGCTGAGATCGTTGAGAGGTACGACATATCCTCTCTCATGAACCCCCTTCGCTTTTGAATGACTTTCCTGTCATAACCCCCCCAATTCTTGCACTTCCTCATAAATGAACCCCTTCCATCACTTGCCCTTTCCCAGCACACATTATCTGCCACAACTTCATAAATCTTGATCGAGCAACGCGATTATCAACTTCGTAAACCTAATCCTGAATTCTCATGGCAACCAGGCGATTGTGTAACACTAAGGTAGTTGTCTAGTTGACTACTTAAATGTTGACCATGTAGTTAAATCATCTCAAATTGGTGGAATTCCGAATCAAGGAAGAATTTGGTGCCGCTGAAGATCATTGTAATTCAATAAATCACATTTAGCGAAGTCACATCTCGCCCAAATCTCAATGATCGCCGTTCATCACGGCTGCGATGGAAACAGGTTCGCGTTTAATTAATGCCTCCTTTCTGCGCCTTGTGCGGAAGCCCCACCGGGACTTTAGTGTATCAAGTTCCACCCTGTGACTGGAAATGGTTGGTACTATACTTTGGCACCGTGAGGTGGTGTAGGTTCACTATATCTCTCACACAATTCAAGGTACCGCACCGCGTACGTAATATAGCGCAGCAATCTATAATTGTTAACGATCGCGTTAGCAAGCTTGGCAGCTTGCAGCACGGCATCATGCAGCACGGCAGCCTGCAGCATGGCATCATGCAGCACGGCAGCCTGCAGCTCAGCAAGACGTTATCCTGCAACATCCGCTCCTCCTAATTGCCTGTACAAATGAGCGGCGCTTACTTTAGTCGCGGTAAACTAGGCGCACTCCACGTGAACGCCTGAGGTGAATTGTGCGTGGACTTCGTGCCTCTTGCGTGTCAAAATTATTGACGAAATAATCTATTTAACAAGTTATTTTTCGTGTTTTATGTCGTGCTAATTACCGGTCTTGTGTCGTGCTAATTAACGGGCTTGGATCGTGCTAATTACCGGGCTCTTGTCGTGCTAATAAACGGGCTCGTATCGTGCTAATTAACGAGCTCGTGTCGTGCTAATTAACGAGCTCTTGTCGTGCTAATTAACGGGCTCGTGTCGTGTTAATTAACGGGCTCGTATCGTGCTAATAAACGGGCTCGTATCGTGCTAATTAACGGCCTTGTGTCGTGCCAATTAAATAAAGTCGATAACGGGAAATATTTCAGCCTGGTAAGCTGGAATTGTCTTACCTGCTCTCTATGAGTGAAGTTAACGATTTAGATTTTTTGTTAGGTTAGGGTTAGGTTAGATTTTTAGGTGAAAAGTTTGGTTCTTAGGATTAATTCGCCTTAGTAGTATGCTACGAGTTGCAGTTAAATTTTAATTGAATTAATTAATTAACTAGCTATAATTAAAACATCACCTTATATTAACAATCTTTGAAATAACACTTCAATTCTGAAATAAGCATAATAATTAACACTGAAGTAGATTTTTGAAGTTTGAAGTAAATATTCAAAGTATGCATTACACATTTAAATTTTGAGGTAAGAATGTCAACTCTAATGTAAAAATTTAAATTCTAATGTAGGAATTTACATTCTTAATTAAAAACTTAAATTCTAAAGTAATCATGCTGAGTGTGATGTAGAGAATTAACTTCTGAAGTTAAAAATAACGAATTCACGATCAATCAGAGGTCGATGAAGCAGCGCATGTGTTGCCAGACAGCTGTGCTGCTGTGGCGTGCTGCAGGTGCTGAGGTGATGGTGCTGTGCTGCTGTGGCGTGCTGCAGGTGCTGAGGTGATGGTGCTGTGCTGCTGTGGCGTGCTGCAGGTGCTGAGGTGATGGTGCTGTGCTGCTGTGGCGTGCTGCAGGTGCTGAGGTGATGGTGCTGTGCTGCTGTGGCGTGCTGCAGGTGCTGAGGTGATGGTGCTGTGCTGCTGTGGCGTGCTGCAGGTGCTGAGGTGATGGTGCTGTGCTGCTGTGGCGTGCTGCAGGTGCTGAGGTGATGGTGCTGTGCTGCTGTGGCGTGCTGCNGCTGTGGCATGCTGCAGGTGCTGAGGTGATGGTGCTGTGCTGCTGTGGCGCGCTGTAGGCGCCGAGGTGATGGTGCTGTGCTGCTGTGGCGCGCTGCAGGTGCTGAGGTGATGGTGCTGTGGTATTTTTTCATAGCGTATGGCGCTTGCTGCACAGCGTATGGCGCTTGCCAGTCATCATCGCGTTCAAATAAATTTAATTCCTTGACATTTGGCCAATACCGACGCTCAAATTGCACTCAAAGAACTAACGTATCGATTTGTGTTGATCTAAATTGTTCATCATTTCGATGCGCGTGCGTGCTAACAGACACTCAGAGATATAAGTGGGACATTTTATCTAAACAGCTATGCACTTCTAACCTTGTCTGGGTTATCTTGACCAAGTTTGACCCAGCGACTATCCTATTTAACGATAAGTCGTTAACCATGAACCATTTTCGCGGTTCGCAATAATCGTGACTTTTTGTAGAGAAGATAAGTTTACTAACGAACTTTATGCTGATTCGAAATAAATAAGAAATACTACTATGGGTTACGATATCAACAATCTTCTGTATTTCTATAGAAATTGCGTCCGTTTCTGGGCTGAGAAATAATCAAGGATTCTAACAACAGACGTTAGAATTTTCCTGATTTTTGGACCTCTGTTCTGAAGTTTTCTGTAAATTTTGTACACAAGCCTCCTTATGGATTCCCGGCGTAGCCTTTTTACGATAGAATAACTATTTTCCTTAACAAAATATTTTCATTCCTACTAATTAATCATTTATAAGTGGCAATTAAACTGTATTGTTCGGAGCGAAGAATTGTGATCCATTGTTCTTGCCTTACAACATCACTCAGCCGCTGTTGTGTTGCTGCCTTGCAACATCACTCAGCCGCTGTTGTGTTGCTGCCTTACAACATCACTCAGCCGCTGTTGTGTTGCTGCCTTGCAACATCACTCAGCCGCTGTTGTGTCGATGCCTTGCAACATCACTCAGCCGCTGTTGTGTCGATGCCTCTCCCTCAACATCGCTTGTATTGATGTTATATCATATTTCGAAGCCAGCACCGTAACGTGAGCCCCAATCTCTGAGTTGACGTTCATTATTGGCTCGTATGGACATGTGGACGTGAGACGCATGCCTCATCAGCGACGCGACTCATGTTCATGTCAACGACAGGCTTTCCTTTGTGCTGGGTTCATTACATGGCATGCATAATGCAGGTTTTCATATCATATTGCACGGAGTTCGTCTACTATCTCATATATTATTTTCTGCTTCAGTGACGTTTAAATTTGTTGTTTTATTTCATATTGAAGTGTTATTAAGTTGAGGTACAATGCTATGAAGATAATTTCGGAGGCTTCTAGGCAAGAAATATCCTTTTTATATAAATGTTTATGCCTCATTCTTCAAATATAGATCAATTTTGGATCATTTTTAAAGTCGAAATAATTTTAATTGCTAAGGTTGCATAATAAATAAACTGATTTTCTATTCTGCGGTATTGTATTCATTTTTTTTTGCCACCATTTCGTAAACCATTTACTCGAATAAACGTTTACTATTTTATAAACCATTTACTTATACGAACTCTCGGTACTCGGAGCACATGTTTTTCAGGGATCACACGTGCACTTGTGACGTGTAGTTTGACATGCAGCATCCAGACATGGCAGCGCAGGTGTCAGCTCATCGTCAGCTTACATTCTATTAAGCGGAGAACGTCAGCTTACATTCTCCATGGAAACTCATGCATTTCTAAACCACAAGCCACTCACATTGTCTATGAGAGCAGCAACACCTGAGTATGAGTCTCTATTCAGAATAAGAGGCTTATTATCGCCGTCTCATTGTCGGCCATTCATGAGTCGCTCCTAAAACTCCTGTAATTTTAAAGAGAGAGCCGCTGACTCACACATGCTGTGCTCAGCAATGTCACTTGCGGTCACTTATCGTGGCAATTCACATTAACTTTTAATCAAAACCGTAAGAGAATTCTGAGTGAAAATTATAATGAATCGAGGATTAGACTCCCTCCCACCATTCAGGCAAATGAGTGAAGAAAATCGTTCGTTTTTTGAGCGATGAAAATCAGTGGCTTTGCTACAAATTGGATGCTAACCAACATCGCAACATCCGTCCTTCGGCATATAATGCCAAAAAATCACCTGTGAATTTAAAGCATCACAAGAGAACTTCTCAAAAACTAAAGCAAAGAAAACTTATAAAAATTCATCGCATTTCATTAATACGTATCTCAGTACCAGATCCACCATAAGTGCGAAATTTAGAATGTAGGTGCAACCAAATGTTCAAGTGTAACCCATAATACTGATTGAAACGTGAATAAAAAAACACAACGGTAAATGTTCACAAGAAGGCAAATCCATCTACTTACAGTTTTAAGCGGATAAAAATTTAACACGGGCTCTATTTCTTATACGCGTGAAACTGTAAACAGATATGTTTGTCTGCTTGTATTTCTTTATGTTGTCTTTTATTTATCAATTTTATGTTCTAAGCTTTGTTCTGTATTTTTGTTGTGATATTTGATTGGCTGCGCGCTTCACCAGCTGGACCGCGACAGCTGGCAGGCTGCCAAGCCAGCTTTGCAGCGCTCGATGGTGGCAGCGCTTAAAAATCGAAACTGGAGCTCTGCCTCTAAAACAACGGTGTGATGAACTAGTCTTCAAGTCCCGAATAGCCAATCGCGTCACCTTAAAAGTTCCGATGGTCTAATTGCCACGTCCACCAATGACCGGAAATTAAATGCAACTTCCCTATTGGCCTGATCAGCAAAAACTTGGACTGAACGGATTGATAACTCAAACAAGATGCTTAATTCAATGTATTTATAATAAACAGCAAATTGAAACAAAAATCAAAACTAACGATTATAAAGAGATGCGACATAAGTCCTAAGCGAATTAACTAGCTGAACGCGGAAAAAGCTAAAGTGCGAGGAGAGCAAAATGCGAGAGAGCTAGAGCATGGAGATCTGAGAAAAACGCACGATC